AAAGTTGGTAGGACAATAACTCATAATCTGGCTCCATGGCAGGATAGGAAAGCATAAATGTCAAATATAATACAAGCACGACCATCCCCACAATATAGGAACGTCTTGTGAATAGATTATAGAAGGCTGTATCTTCCACAAATATAATTTTTTTAAAGGGGATGGAAGAAAATTTTGTAGAGAGCATAGAGATCATTTCTGGTGGAACACAGATCATATCTGTCCCATAGTCATTATAGGTCAGTTTCCTGTCTCCATGGGTGGCTAATACCCAAAGGCTTTGGATGAAAGTGAAACGTTGTGAATAATTATAGTGTAAACATCAAGAGGGGAAGTTTCTTCCTAACCTCCATGAATGAGTGGTTGGTTCATGCCCTGAAGAGGGAAGGACTCTCTCTTTTAAAATCCTCTCTAATATGAATGTTCACATTATCCCTATAAAACTTTAGTTCACCTTTGAGCCTACTCAATGCTCAGTCTCAATATATTGTAGCAATGAGCTCCACTGAGTAAAAAATGCACATTTTCTAAGTGGCGACCTTTCAGAGTCACTGAATGTTCCTGGAACAGAAGAAAGAATTATTGCTATGTAATTCACAGTACTAGCCCTAGTGTTGCCTTTAAAATATGTATAATTTTTGCTATTCCCAGAGCACTCAGATTATTAACTGATTTTAATGAGAGACTGTGTACATGCTTTAGTAGATGCTCCTTCAAGACTCTGGAGCTTTAACCATGTGGGCCTAGCTACTTCTTATTCTTGAATTTATCAGTTTGTTCCAGCACCTTCTCTTTTGATGCTTCAACTACTGAGAATACGTCATCTTTACTACCAGAAAAAGACTAGCCCAGAAAAGGGTTTTCCCTGTTCTCTCTGAAGACAGAGGAAAAGTAGTCATGTAGACTTTTGCCAAGCACTGCCATTATCCTCATTTGTTTCCTTTATTCTTTAGTAATCCAGCAGACACCAACTGTCTCAGGTTTTTTATTTCTGATATAGTTAAATAATTTCTTTCTTCCTTTGGTAATTTCCTAGTTTCTTTAGAGTTTTACTTGTCACCAGTGATGCTCCTTTTTCTTAGTCTCATAGTATTGGATTTCTTCCGATAAAGAAAGTAAACTTCCGTTAATCCAGCACCTTTGGGACCCAGCCAGCTGCTCTGCCCCCAGCTTCCCCAAGTCTGCCGCTGCTGAAACTGACTAGTGGCGGACTTTGGGAAGCCGGGGGCAGAGCAGCTCCAATTGTCTGGCTGACCAGAGCACTTCCGGGTTCTAGCTGGTGCCGGACTATCGGGAGTGCTGGACCACTGGATGCTAAACAACTGGAGTTTTACTGTAGTATGATAACTGGTTAATCAAAAAAGCACTTTGCCATCTAACTCTGTCAACTTCTTGGCTAAGGCTCATATTTTCTGAAATCTCCTTTCTAGAGTGGTCCTGGGCAAGTTTGGCTACAATTCCTTTCTTTGATGAGGATGTTAAACTTTCCATTTTAGTTACTTGCTGTGTGTTACTGAGGCTCAAGAGCACATTGGCAGAAGGATGGATAATATGACCTAACTGTTCTTTTCTATTTCTAATCCTTTGACTCCAGAAAACATTTAAACAAATGAAGAATCACATTCCTAATCTCAACAGGATTTAAGCGCATGCTGAAAACGTACTGTGTTTAAATATTGTACTGAGTAAGTATAGGATTATTCAGTGCTTACAGATAAGCACATGTTAAGTTGAAGAGAGGCCTTATTTCTTCAGGCCCAGTTCAGCAGCCTTGATTCAGGTAATACACTCATGGTCATCGGTGGATGTATTCCCTATTGCAAAAATAAGCCCTAGGATTCCATTTATAAAAAGCTTCCTAGGCCAGGGGTCTGGATCCTAGCAGTTCCTTGGTGGCTGCACGGGGGTGGGGAGTTGGGGGGGGGGGGGGGTCCACAAAATATTGTAAAAAATAAAAAAACCTCACAATTAAAACTGACAAATCATCTATTTCTGTTTACACAACATATTCTATGGTGTATGAATGATATAATACTCATATTGCATCAATGTCAATGTCAGAAAATCTCACTGCTTTGCAACAGCAAATCAGAAGTGACGTCTTTTTTTCCTTTGACTGAGATGTCTTTTACAGAGGGAAATGGAAAATATTTTTATGGCATGTGAGCAAATTACATTTAAAATATATAAGTTTTTAAAACGTCCTCGTGACAGTACTGTTAGTGGCACTTAAGCCGTGACCAATGCAGAGTCAAGTAGTAAGAAACAAATGAAGAAGAAAAAGTTTGATGGAAGTTATACTGATAATTGGTTTTATGGAATTTAGTGACAGACATCCAACTATGTTTTATATGCTTACAAATCCAATCAAACAAAGCAAAGAAACCTGGAAAGTTGAAAAAAACACCTCTTCAGGCACCTGGAGTATAAAGATAAATTGAGAGAATTTTTTCTTCAATGAAATAAAGAATACAATTGATGGAAAACTCAGATGACAAAAATAACATCTTCAGATTGCACTAGGAAAGAACTGATTCTCCCAGCTGCTATAAAAAGGTGTGACGTGATGGGAAACAAAAGATGTAACAAAGTTTTCAGTCTGAAAGGCTATGTAGATGTGAACCGTTTGCAAGTCAGCTTGATGAGACAAGTGATGTTGGTAATGCAGCACAATTACTAGCTTTTATTCATTATGTTTGACTGGGGGAAATTTACTTTTTTGTCAGACATTACCAGTACAGATAATAGATCAAGAAAGATTAAATTATTGAATGATTTCATGAAAGCTCCACTTGCTAAACTGGGAGGAGTGTGGTGCTGTTTGCACATATAGTGCTGCTGAAAGGCAACAGAGGGGGTGTTGTAGAAAGAATATGAGCCATAAATCCACAGATAATTGTAACATGCTGTATGTTGCATCACCAGAACCTTGTATCAAATAAAATGGAACCCAAATTACATAATGTGCTAAATGCAGCTGTGATTTTGTGAAGTCCTGACATTTGAATTCATGCATTTTTGCAAAGCTGTGTTTAAAAATGGGTGCCAGACATGATAAATTATTGTTCCATATGGCAGTGTATTGGCTATCTCATGACACCGTGATGGAAAAAGTTTTTGAACTTTGCAAAGAGCTGCTGGGTTTTTTTCTGTGCACAATCCCAAGATCACTGCAAACTTTTCTGATGTGAATTGGTTTGTGCAGCTTCCATTCCTTACAGACATTTTTAACTTGTTGAATGAGCTGAACCTGTCCACACAAGGAGGAGACACAGCCATACTTGAAGAGAATGACAAGAATGCAGCATGTCAGAAGAAAATACTGATTAGTAAAACTAGGCTGAACAGTGGAACCTCAGAGATGTTTTTGCTATTGACAGAATTTTTGGATACGAACAGCATGACAATGGACTGAGAGAGAAACAGGATCGCTGCTCACCTTCCAGCTTTGGCTGAGCACCTCATTGTTTACTTTACAAATTTCAACAATATGACTGGGTTTGGGATCCATTCTCAGCTTTTGCTATGCCATCTTAACATTTGAGTGAAAAAAGCAGAACAGGAGCTGTTCAAACAATCCAATCACAATGAAAATTAAGTTTTAGGAACAGACACCTGGCCAGTTTTGGTGCTACGCAGTACACATTTTTAGTACAGAAGCAATTATAGTGATGCTACCATTCCCAACAACATATGTATGTGAAGTGTCAGTCTCTGCTATGATGGCTATGAAGACAAAGTTCAGGTACTGACTGGAAGTGGAGAATCATTTACAAATTTGCTTGTCAACCATCACACCAAGGATAGATAAGACTCTGCATACAGAAGCAGGCCTACTCATGGCACTGATTTCTGTAAGTACTCTTCCGCTCTTTTCTGAAAACATTACTAGCAGTACATGGTTCTAGGAAGTATACATATACTTTTGTCAGCTTCTCCATTGGCAGGCGGGGGGTCTATGATTAACGTTACATTTGAAAAGAGGTCAATCAAAAACCATTTGAGAATCTCTGTCTTAGTTTGCTTCCAATGAGTTAAGGTCTACTGGGGCACCTGCTGCTATTATTCAGGGCTGATCTACTCTAGGAAGTGAGGTTAGTTTAACAACATTGCTCAGGGCTGTGAAAAAATTCACTTTCCTTACAATATATTTAAATTTACCTAAACCCTGGCATCGACCTAGCTACCAGTTTTGGATGAGCTGGATTTACTGCAGTGATACAATACATTCCATCGCTGTATTAAGTGTCTGCACTACAGTGGTACCACTGCAACTATGCCAATGTATTGTTTCTAATGTAAACATAACCTGAGCCTTCAAAATGCACTAGCATGTCACTGCACTACATATAGGCTGCAGTCAACTAGGGAACTTTAGGATTTTCTCTTGGCTTATATTGAGTCATTTTGAAAATAGGCACAGACATAACATCCTCTTTTTTTGTGAGCTTATGCCAAAAAATAGGAAGTTTGCAAATGGATATTCAGCAGTGCCAGATAATATTGAAGTCTAGTTTAAAAAGTTAACCTATTTTCTGATCTCCAAACAACTAGGCTGGAAACGGATGTTCTTGAACAAAATGACATGATCAGAAAACATTACACTCAATTATTAAAGTGCTGTTTTATATTCATCACAACCTGTTTTGAAGAACAACAATGTGTTAACATTTAAGCCAAGAGGGATCTGAGTACACAATATAATGTATTTGATGCAGCTTGTTTATGCAACATTCTGACAGATACAATTAATCTCGTGAAAACGATCATGGTATAATAGCATGTTATCTTTAAAGTCATAGAACACATTTTCTCCTGTGAGAATTAACACTTAATAAAACACACAATCTCAGGACGTAAATGAAAGCTTGAAAAGAACAAAATTTAGTCTAAAGAACTATTTGAAATTCTAGACTAAAAAAATTCGTATTTCATCAAGAATATGGGGGGAGGGGAGGAGTCTAACCTCCAAATAAGAGAGAAAAGGAAGCAACACATACCTCCAACAAATGCATCACCAGCTCCATTGGTATCAACGATTTCACTCTGGTCACTATCTAAGACAGGGAAAGCAGTCACTTCCTTATCTATGAGAATAGAGGAAAAGAAAACATTAGTTATTGGGAAATAGAATTTGAAACACCTCAGTATAAAATAAAACAATCAACATGTGAATGTCAGTGCACAGCAACTCAATTTGGACCAAAATGATCGTGTATTTAGTTTACAAGTCAGTTTATACATCACATGAACATGTGAGTATAGCTGGTCAAACAAAGTGACAGAAATACACAGAAAGATGCAGACACAGATGAAAAGAGAGATGGAGAAAAATCCATCCTGCCAAAACCAGAACCACCTGTCAGCTGCAGACGGCTGATTCAACATCTACACTACCCAGGCCAGAACTCAGAAGTAGCGAGCACAACAGAAAAGACCTACAATAATAAATCAATGTGAAATAATTGAAACAACAAATATGTAGGACAAGGGGAAAGCTAGGACATTTTGGGATAGATAGTAAAATGCTTTGAAAAAGCATCTCTTTTAAAACCGCATCTGAGGATGGACCCTAGGAATTCTCAGCCAAAGCAGATTTGGTTTCAAAACCTACAATGACTTCAGACTCCTTCCTTTGCATTCTTTTTTAGAGTCTCTCCTCTGAAGCTCTCTGTTCTCTACAGGCACCCATAAAAACTATTTCAACAGATGGCTCTAGAGCATCTGTACCTCCAATTCTCCAACACACTACAACTGAACGTAATTACACTACTTACATATGATAACTTTTGTGATCTAGGGTTATACATTTAATATATGCCACTAATTAATCAGCTAGGACTTTCCAGGTGGTAATGTCATAATGACATGATAAATATATAATGACTATCTTGTCACAATACCTTGTTAAAGTGTAAATTACTCTTGTAACAGAGCCAATGGAAGTTATGCCTCTGTGCACCAAAATGGTCTCAAAAGGATTTCCTTTGGCAGATAGTTAAAAAAAAATTGCATGTCAGCCAGCAAAACTTAAAACTATCAGAGCTGTCTTCACCCTTTAATTTTTGATAAAAATAGAAGCAATATGACAAACAGTCCTTGCAATATGTAAAAATTGCAGGTCGTTTTACTACCCAGCCGCACATCAGATCATAAACTACTTCATACACAGAGTACTTGGCCAGTCACAAACAATCCCAGACTGGGAAGCAAACATGAAATTCACAGTCTAAAACCAGGAGAGTGTGTGTGTGTGTGTGTGTTGCAGAGGGACCAGAAGGATCCTGGTTTCTGTGAAGTGCAGTGTATCAGCTCTACTGCTCTTCACCATCTGCTGTTAAGTGAACCAAGCAGATATAATGATGCTGCCTCCAGAGGGAACTGTTGGCTGGCCCACCAGGAAGGGAGGGGAGCGTTAGCAACAACCATCAGTGAGAGGCAAAGAAAAAAGAAAATAATAATAAAAAAATAAGATGAATATTCCAGTGAAAGAACAGGTTTTAGTCAGTACTCAATGCATCCTCTCTCTTCCATTAATAAAGCTATTTAGAAACGCTACTTAAAGGCTGTTGCATCATGGTCTTCAAGAGCTAAGCGTTTCACTCTTTATAGTGCTTGAACAGGATTCATTTGAATTGAAAATCAAGGAATACAGATCTTGTATTCAGCTCTGCAGGAGAGCAGCGTGCATTCAACCATCTGATAAAGAAGTATAACGTATTTTGCTCTAGCTTATGCAAAAACAATCCATAAACCAACCAATCTCTTAAAGCCATATTTCAATGAAGAGGTTTGTTTTGTTATTGTGGCCCTCTGTAGATTTCCCTTTCCCTAACTGATATGCACACACAGATGTTTCATGTAAAGTGTATGTGCATATACACTTTGTGTATATGTGTACAAATATGTGTGTAAGTGCTCAGAAAAGGTATAATGCACAAATACTGTATTTTGAATAAACTAAAGAAGCAGTAATCAAAATTAAACAGGAGTCTTTATTCAGGCGAACTCACGTGAATGACACAGCTCGCACCACCATCTTCTTTCTCCTCACTTCTCCTGAGTCCTTCCCTAAGCTCCCTGTAGTACTCTTAAGTATGACTGCACTTACAAACTTCTGTGCTATTCATTCTGTATTAGATATAACAGTAGGTAACTCTGAGTTATTTAAAAAGTAAATGCATCAATGGCTTCAGCTGATGTTATATACATTTGCTTTACAACCACAATTTTCCACTTTTAATGGTTCATCCAGTTTCTATAACTTTATTTTCAGGTGGAATGACTAAGGGATGCTGAGCATTCAGAAACTGTTTGTCTGGTTTTGCAGCATGTACTATTTAGAAAAGAAACAGATATTCTGCCACACTGCACGTGTTTCAAACAGCCAATTATAAAACTGTTTTATGCAAACACAGAATTTAATCACTTCTTGGTACCAATCGTACCAGACTATATCCCTTTTGTTTCAACTTGGAGTTAACAATACCACACATTTAAAATACATTGAATATTAAGGTTTCTATCTTTATCCCACACAAAATGAAGTCAGTAGATTTAATTCACTTTGCTATGCTCATGCAGCAGGATATGCGATGTCTAACATCACCCACCAATATGAGGCCCTGTAGTAACCAGGAACAACGAGGTGAATTAAGGATGAACCAGAAGCCTCCACTCTGAATTTCCTTGCTTTTGTGAGTTTAATGTTACTTTAATTTCGTTTTCATGTGTGATATATTATATTATAAACCTCCCAAATCCATCATAGTGAACACACAGACACCTTTGCTAAGTGCACTGGTCATCAAATGACCTTGCTTTTCAAAGTCAGTTCTGATTTCATTTATCATTCTGACAGCTTATGAAATAAAGAATAATTACATAAGTATTTTGAAATATAAGTGCTGCTCCTCTGGGCATAAAATCCACTGTGCTATTTTTAAGCAACAAATCTCTTCTATGATAAATACATTCAAATACAGTGTACCCTCTATGTTGCTTCTTGAAAGATAGGGATTTTGTGAGTGATACAGGAGGGGGAAATGATTAAACAAAATGTGATTAATGAATGATCACTGAAAGCTAGAATTTTAGGGCTTGATTGTACACTGGTTACACACTAATAAAACTCCACTGATTTCAACACTTGATTTACACTGATGTAGGTGTGATCAAAATCAAGTCCTTAATGCAGTGGGCCTCCTATGCTAAAGAAACCTTAAGAACACAAAGCCTTAATCAAAAGCCAGTCCAGTGGTAAATCCTAGTTATTAATTGTTGCATTATGCTAGCTGTTTTACTTAGAAAGGTATCTACCCAAACAATATGTTTGTAGGTAGAACAGCGCCTGGAAGTAATGCTGCAGAACAGTACTGACAGAAAAATATCCTTCCAGCCCAAATACACACGGAAATGAAAGTTGCCAAACATAGCCAGTTTCATGATGCTAGCTGAAACACTGATGGTAGCTTGAAGTGTTACAGGTCTGCCTCTAAACCAAATTAGAATCACAGATTACATGTCTGCTTGTAGTACAGTAATAAACACTAGCAAACAATCATTACATCCAATTAGGCTGAGTACTTCTCTTAACTGGGTCATTTACTAGTCTCTCTTGCTCTGAGAAGTAAATTAAATGTGTAAACTTATATATTTAATTACCTGTAACAGCACTCTTAAAAGCAACATGGCCAAGTACCCTTAAAAAAATGGTGGGGGAGTGTTAAAATGCAAAAGTATTGTCTGGCTGCTTCCTAAAATAATCATCTTTAGATCCATGGGCAAATATTGATTATAAAGATGCCAACAAGCTGGGACACATTCATTTTTCATTTGTGAATATTAACTTTTTAGAAAACAATAACTGAAATGGAACCCACCTACAACCCTCCACTCAACTTTCTTTAGATGGGGGCCAAATCCAGATGGAAAGGAAAGGAAGGGAAAAGAATAGAAAGACGATATCAACTTAAGTCCAGAAATATATAAATGGATCTAGGCAGCTGTGGTGAGGAGAAGTGAGAGGAGTATTTGGAATAAATTCCAAGTCTGAGGAGCTAAACATGAATACTTAACCCTCTCCAAAGACAAGGTTGAGTTTCCACATCATTCTTACAGCATATTAAAAAATCCTGAAAACAGTAGAGTTAAAAAAAGCTTCCCCCACCGCCCTGTTTTCACTGAGGTAGGCACCACTGTTACTGCTGTATTCCTTAAAAAAAGGACACCAATATCATTTACCTTAGGTAGATACTGTTATACCGACATCCGTATCAGCGCACTGATGCCCAAAGCTATAAAAATCAACAGGGATGGTGTAGAGCTCTAAGCCTCTGGTTAGAAATATCTAGACTTCCTATCACAATGGAGTTCAAATCTAGCAGGGTTGATTCGGCCCATCATTCTATGCCAGATTTCATATATCTGCTCTGCATAAATGTTGTAGGCTCCACGGCACTTTTGTTGAGTGCAGGCGTTTGACTTGTTTCCTTGCACATTTTTCCTCTCCCATGCCCACTTTTGTGCACAATGGACTGGTGCTGTAGTTATACTGGGCCGATTTTCCTGTCACATCAGCATAAATGAGTAGTATTGTTTATGGAAGTGAACAACATTCAACAGTTTGGGGAATGCTTAGGGATTCTTCTAATTAACAAGCATGACACAAATAATATAAAATAAATATAATGACCACATCATGACTACGGATACCGTACCATAACTTACTATACATGCAGATAGAGTATGTATAGACCACTGGACCAAAGCCAGATTCTGGACACATTCTCAGTAGTATAACACCATTGGCTTGAATTAACTCTTGGTTCAGATGGTGAGATCTGAATCACACTCACTGTATCCAGTTGCAAGAACTGCAAAACTTACCACCACTAATGAATAACTCATTCTTGTATGGTTTTCATAGACCCAAAAGTTTGTTCTTTAAAAGTGTGGGAGCCCCTTCCTCTTTGGCATTCTCTGTTCAGTTCACTGCCAATACCATCAGCTGAAGTTGTGTTTTATTTTTAAAATCTTATTATTTTTTGCTTAGACCAGCATAGAAAATACTATAATTATGTATATA